ATCTTAACACAGTGTCGAACTGGCCACTTCAAAACGCCCTACCATTCAATGTAGACAAATGTTGCATCGTACAATTACGCCATAGTCATAACTACACCTATTCACTTGGGACAAACGGATTGCAGAATAGCTCCCAGGAACGTGACCTTGGTGTGATCGTACAGAGCGATCTCAACTGTTCAAAACAGGCTGAGGTAGCTGCGGAAAGCGGCAACCAGCACGTCGGCATGCTGCGAAGGGCATTCGGGAGATTTGACCCATCAATCTTCCCAATGATGCACAATTCCTACGTGCGCCCGCATGTTGAATTTCCTACCCAAGCTTGGCAGCATTGCTTGAAGCGCGACCTAGAAGCGATTGAGGCACCACAACGAAGAGCAACAAAGAATGTAAATGGCCTGCGCTATCACTCTTACCATCGAAGGCTGAAGCTGCAGGGAATTTTCAGCGGGCGCTATCAAAGATTGCGCGGTGATCTCATATTAGCTTATCAAATATTGAGTGAGCCCAAACACGAATACCGCCATTTGCCGCAACTTATCGTGCAAAGATAAGGCGGCATCAGTGACGCAACTTTCTTGCGGCTTTCACAGCTCCTCGTCGTAATCAGTCATTACCCCGCAGATAACTCAGCACCAAGACTTCTTAACACAGGCATTCGGACAAGAAGACGACAGCAGACGCGCCACTGGTACTCACTGCGAGCCATGTCCTATAAATTTCAGTGTCAAACACGACGCGTTCTCGTGGACTGCAGCCTGGAAGGCGAGCTGGACTGACGGCCCCCAGTTTGATTGTCAGTGGCTTCATTTCCCGCTGCCAAGTCAACTTTTGTCCACCTCGAGCCTTGCTCCACTCGACATCTGGCAAACCCAGTAAACAGTGACCGAATATACATAGTACGTGCTCAAACCAACGTAACTTATTCAGTGTGCTATCTGTTGTTCTAAGGATCTATCTTGACTACCAGTGCCTAGTAGTCGCCTACGTACATCCGGGTTGCGGACACGCTGGTGCCACCCGACACCATCAATGCTCCACAGACACAGGAAAATGTGACGCTTGCCGAAAATGCACTAAGCTTGTGCTCCTTTGCACGCGATTGCTCGGATAAACAATTCATCCTACCATAGTGTGGTGAGATGTTGGCCGGGACATGGGGTGTGGTTGCACGATGCAGGGCTCACGAATTCGATAAACGCGGAATCGCTGGCCACGATCGTTCCATTGTGAGCGGAGATTACCATCTAGAAACAATCTAACCTGGTCCGTAGCGCAAAAGCAACAAGATCGCCTTGCAACCTTGATGCGTCGGTTCAGTAGTGTATGATGGGATAAAAGGCATAACTTTACAGGAAGCAGAGGATCGAAAATGCATCAGAAAATTAAAATCAAAAACGTTCCAACGTGGAACGTGGATCATAAGTAGTACAGACAACGCACTTTAGCACGCTGTTGTGTGGCGATTTTCACTAAGAGGAAAGTCTAGAAGTCTCTGGAATATCGCGACGTCCGGTTAGTTCACACATATGTTGGCAGTGCATTCCAGTGGGAACAGACACTAAGTGAGTAAAAATACTTCCTACAATTCAAACGGGAGTATTGCATCGCTAGTCTCAGGTGCTGGCCTCGACATTAATTGTAAGAGGTAGGGTCAGCAATAATGTGCATGGGTGTTCGTTTTCAGTTAACATCTGGTATGTGAGGACGAGATCCCCGCGAAGCACTCAGTATTCTGATGAGAATCCACCGAGTAAACCAATGGAACAGTGGATCAATGGTATACTACGGGCACAAAGGCGAATGCTTAGCAAGTCCTGTAGGCTGGCCAAAAAGAGAACTATAAAGTGGTGAATAGAAAACGGAATGATACAATGAAAATCGTTTTGGTGGACTTACCACCGTTTTAACCCAGAGCCCCGCAGAAAGAGCCAACCACAGCTGTGTAGGTTAATCCTGGTTGTGCAATGTTCGTCGCATTATATCTTCCATTGAGAACCACAGACTATGTCTCGTAGTGCACGGGGGGTTAGGGCAATATCAAGGCGATTTTTAAACACAGGTGAAATGGGGGCGGAAACAACGCAATTTGGGAGGGCATTCCAAGGCTGACACACAGGAAAACATTCTAGCCTACTGTTGTGTGTGGCTAACTTGAACTGGCGGACCCTCAACTTCGTGTTTTGGCTTAGTTGCGGTAGGTGATTGCAAACGTGGTTGGGTAACCTTAGAATCTGGTAGGCCATGATAAGCTTGCCCCGTAGAAGCCGGTACCGGCCACTGCATAATTTTAGGGCCCTCAGTTTAAGTTGATAAGGAAGCTTGAACAACCCGTTGACGTGCTTCGTGGCTCCTTGGTATGGAGTCTCGAGTGTTGCAAAGTCTTGTTTGTGCCAGAGATGCCACGGCTGAATCGCTTATTCAACATGAGGCTGAATGTAGGTGTTAAGGAACTGAGAACAGACGGAGGGATCAAATCGCCCAATTGCCCTCCGCAGCATGCCAACGTCTTGATTTCCGGTCTTTGACGCCTTCTCAGATTGTGCTAAACAGCCCAGATCAGTTTGAACTCGTACCCTAATTTCGCGCTCCTGGGTGACTGCTTGCAGTAGATGATCGCCAAGCTTGTATGTGATTTTCGGCTGGTGACGAATGTGAACCACCTTACACTTCCCCGAATTGAACTGGAGCAGGTTGTGGAGTGATCACCCACACGCTCTGTCCAGGTCTTGGTGAAATGCACCGTAATCTGCTGGGTCGGCGATCGTCCGCCACATCTTAACATCGTCAGCGAACAGCAAGAAATCTGAAGTAATCGAATGCGTAAGCTCATTAGTGAACACTAATAACAGACGTTGGTCCCAGAAATGATCTTTGTGGAACTCCATATTCGACATAAATCGGATCAGACAGCGGACGTCAAACTCTGACCTGCAGTGGTCGATCCTGCAGGAAATTCCTGATCCACCCGAAGATTAGATCATCAACTTCATAGCTTTCGAACCTGTGAAGCAGAATGCGGTGTTCCAGTAGGTCGAAGACTTTGGAGAAGTCATGGTAAGTGATGTTTGTCCCTCTGCCTGTATCGGCCGCTTCCGCCTAACTACTGCGGGCAATCAGTAGGTTGGTAGTGCATGAACTGCGCTGGCGAAAATCGTGTTGCTCCGGTGCTATGAGGGTGTAGCGTTCCAGATCGTCTACTAAAGCATCAGCGATGGTTGTCTCCATCAGCTTTGAGAGCACAGGGAGAAAGACCACTTGCCGAAAGCTGGTGGGTTCCGGGCGATTATCGCTGTTGGAAATTAGAGTGATTACGCCATGTTTCTACAAGGCTCAGTACTTGAGACTGGATGGTCCACGTGTTGCCTTGGTGGCTGCTCTTTGAGGTTGATCCAAGAGACGAAAATCTCGTTCTAACCATGGGCACCAGGCCTGAACCGCATTTCTAACGTGGGGACGAAGTTATGAGTTTGATTAACAGTGGCACTAGCCGTCGCTGAAATGAATTGAGAGTTCGCCTCAAAAGCCTTTTCACGTTCGCCACGTTTGAGCTATCGAGCATTGGAGCGACTTACCACGGCTTTCTTGTACGATAATACCTATGTCTCTCTCACTAGTCCCTCGTTACAAAACCTACTGTCCCAGAAGATATGTGTTGCTGTAGCTGCTACGCACCATTAGTAGGTAGTGATTTGCAGGGCTCAGTAGGAGCTGGTTCATTGCTGCCCACTCGTTAATCCGGTCCAGATCGTTCTGGAAATAGGCACGGTCGTATGCTGAGCGAATTGCTCTCAATATTTTGGCATCATCTGAAAACGTTTGCATCGCGGATGAACTGTTTTCTCGGAGGTCAATTATGTAACCTAATTCAGTAGTGGGCCGAGGACGGATACTACCAGCACGCCACTGGATACGCATTGGTCTTCAGAGTGAGTGTTGGTTATTCTTACCTCGATGGTTCTACATTGTAGGTAATCTGCCAACCAGGTGAGCAGGGAAGCGTTTTTACCATAGGCAGTAAGCTTTTGGAGAAGAACGAAGTGCTTGCCCCTGCCGAAGACCATAGAAAAATCTAAGTAAACAACATCCATGCGGACTCATTCATCTACTGCTGTGGTCTATAAATCCCGCGCAAGGAGTAGATTTGTGGAATAAGATCATTTGCGTCTGAAGCTATGTTGAACATTTGAAATTATTTGCAAACTTTTAAAATATCGCGTCAGTTCAGCTGCAATTAATGATTCCACCACTTTTGATAAAACTGGTAGGAGAGTGAAAGGTAGGTAATTGACAGCATCCGTTCTCTTACCTTCTTTGTATATCGGAGTGACGATTCTACGTTGCCACTAAGATGGGAGTGTATAGGAGTCAAACAGACCCTGAACAAATGCTGCAACATATACTGCTATGGCGGGGGTAAGCGTTTTAACTACCTTTTGGGCCTGCTCATAACATGGCGACCATCGCAGTATCATCAGTCCACGAGAAACCGCTGGTGTTTGCACGGCAGTGAGACATTGGTATAGCGTACCGGCGTATCGTTAATGCCTTTTTAAATCTAACCCGACGATTGTGAATTTGGTGGCAAATCGACATCGTTTTTAAGACAGTCTTTTAAAAGAATAGCACGCTTTCTAAGTTGTAAACCGGATAACGTGATTATTTGAATGTGTATCTTAACTTCTTAACTTACGGTATTGCGCCAAGCATAATTAGACAAAAACCTAAGTATTCACGGTGCAACAACAGTCACATTCTGCGGTCAGTTTAAGTTTCACCTTAAACTTGCACAGGGGTACTCATTTGCTCCAGTTCTACTATACCCCGGTAACTGTCAAGGACCATGGCTTTAGGGAATTGATGTTCATCCAACTGCTCTACTAATAAAAGCACAAGCTCTGTATCGATATCACAACCAACACCAGATGCAGGATGGGACCGACAGAGGAAATAAGCAAGTTATAATAATCAGTGTTGAAACGAGTTATTTAATCACTCACTGGAAAAGCCCCCAGATAGAAATCGGTCAGATCCAAATCGGCCGTTAGACGTATGCGACAATCTGAGCAGAAATAGGAAGGTATTTAAGCTGGAAATTACCTTCGCATGTGTTATGGATAGCCGTTTCACATTTGTGTACGCCAACCAAGAAATCCTGAATAGTGGGCCGAAGGCTGAGTCCCTGCTGAAACGTCCGTAGCGCCTCCTCAAAGTCTCCACGTAGATAGTATATCTGTCCTAGTAACAATAGAGCCTGAGAAGCTCAGCCACTTATGGATGAAAAATGGTTACATGCAAATTCTTCTTTTCATACTGTAAAACGGTCTGTACATCTGCTAATGCCTTGTCAGTCTCACAAAGATACATATAACATAGAGAACGTAGCAAGTACGATGGTATATGCTTGTCATCTTGCCTTAGGGCCTGGATACATACGTGGTTTACCAGGATATTACGCGCGGCTTACCAAAGCGAGGTAGAATAATGCTCTCTTATACTCTTTGCGAACTTGTAAGGTGCGTGCAATTGCGTAATAAGCATCAACAGACTTGAATGCAGGTTGTTCGCTGGAATCCTCCGACATGGCTCGCCTCCACTCTAGTCGCCTTGTTTGAATGCCGATTTTGTCGATTGGTCACATGTTTCAAAGAACACGCGGATGACAGCCAGACAATGACTAAGTACAGTAATGTGACACGCTTGATTTTGAGTGGAAAACTTGCAGACAGTTAGCTACCAAACCATTGGGTTTGTAAGGTAAATTGATGCCTAATTGATCAGATAGCTTTGGGTTTATTAGAGGGTCTTTTCATACAGGATTGGCGCATTTACGAATGCTCACTAATTTCGAGAAACAGAAATAGTTCCGGAGTTTTGATCAAGAATGTGTTATCCCCTCTGTAAAAGGGGCAAAGGGTTCTTCACCTTGAAAAAGGAAGTGTTTTCGGAACTTTACTGCGATAATTTCGCGAATGTTTATAAACAGCTGACGAGAACACTTGGAATACTTGAATTCAGCGTATCCCGTTATAATGATTTTCTTCTTGCTATTTTGAATAAATGTGTTGCAACTGGACACCTAGCATGAAATCAGGTTGAGGTTGAATGAAAGTTGAAGGAAACCGCAGCAGGAGTGAGATGGCTTGAAAACGAAGTTTCCATAATCGCTCATTGCAGCTGAATGTTTACCCTTCTGGGTGCATAAAGCAATTCTTTAATTGCATTGATTTTCCATCTGAACAAAACAAGGTTGTACAGCAGAACGCACATGCAAATATAGTATCCTAAGGAATAGACACCGCCAAACAAACAATAAAAATCAAAAGGAGACACAGTTATCATAAAAAGGTAACATATATATCTGTTTACTGGTCACTTCAGCCAGCACTATCGCCATGTATTCATTGATACTCTACTACCGAGTTGTGGTCACAACAAGGTGCTTTGTGATATGACTACTGAAGCACCTAAAGAATCAAGTAAATTGTTAACACCCATTCGCAACCTTTTACCGTGGGGACTGAAATTCATGTAATGAACTTAGCAGTACCATGAACTGGAACATGCCATTCCTATCTCCCAACCCTAATGTGGCTACATGTGGGCGAGGACAGTGTGACGATTAAACAAGTAATCCGACTTGGCCAGAAAACTAACCAGTCATGTCGACCTCTGAGGATCACTTTTGCAAATCCTAAAATGCCGCAGCTCATACTGTCTCGTCTGTCAAGGCTGAAAGGCATAAAAGTTCACATCCACCGAGATTTGGAACCCGAGGACAGGGATCGTTTGAAGACTGCGGTCATTGAGCTCAAACGCCGTACAGAGGAAGGGGAGACTGACTTACAAGTTGTAAATTTTCGGGTGATCAAGACGGGTGTACGAACCCGTATCAACCGGTTGCTCAACCTCCAGGCACGTCCTGCAGTACCTCCCAGGACCTCCGTGTTGCATTCGCCAACGTGTGCAGCCTAATGAACAAACGTGACGAACTGTGCCGCTTCGCTGTCTCGGAGCGGCCGGACATTTTAGGACTTGCAGAGACATGGCTGAACTCCGACATCATACCCCAAGAAGTCGTGTTGTCAGGATACTCTTGTTTCCGATGTGACCGAAAATCAAAGGCTCACGGTGGTGTTCTGTGGTACATAAAATCGTCACTATCTGGCAAACTTATCAGTACCTATCAGAGCGAGGATAGATTATGCGAGCAATTGTGGTGCACAATCCGTCTCAGGCGCAGAACTAATTGTGGGGGTTATCTACCGGAGCCCATTAAACCGTTGCTGCGATTGGATACCACATGTACAGAAGCACATGAGCCGCCCTCAGTTCTTACTGATGGGGGATCTAAATTTACCTAAGATAATTTGGCCAGATGTTCGACTTCTTCCCGGTCATGGCAACGTTGAGGCTCAGTTCGCTAAAATGACTATTAAAATTGGGGCAACGCAACATGTCATCCAACCGACGCGCGTAACTCCGTATTCGGCATCTTGTCTGGACCTAATGTTTACGAGCTGCGAGCAGAAGCTAAAAGAGATCAGAGTCATCGAACCTCTGGCGAACAGTGACCACTGCTCTATTGTAGCAAGCTTAGAACTGTCGTTACCATATTACAATCAACAGAAGCCGACATTCAACTATTGGAAGACGGACTTCAACGGACTCGTTCAAGCCGCAAGTCAGACTGATTGGACACTACCACAGAATGCGTCACTTGAGGCGTGGTGGTCATTAATAAAGTGGAAGCTTAACTCGCTCTGTACTCGGTTCGTTCCCCTTAAGTATCCAAAAATCGGACCTGTCAAACCGCATTGGTTTGATAGGGAATACAGACAGTTAGCGCGACGACGTCGTAAACTTTGGGATAGATACATCAGCTCGGGTCGTGATGAAGATTACGCGGTGTACAGGAAACAGCGTAACTTATGTAACGCCGCAAAGATCAAGAAACGCCGGCAATTCGAAGAGGAGCTAGCATCTTCGGCCACAACTGCACCCAAGCGAATATTTGCCTACTTGAAACGTCAACTAAAATCTGGAGACGACCTACCGGTCTTAGAGAGCTTAGACGGGAAGACACTCATTTCAAGCGCGGAGCGCGCGGACGCCCTGGCTACGCACTTCCTCACTGTATTTTCCAGTAAACCGGCGGCTGTTCCAGTACCGGCATAGGTTGCGCAAGTCTTGCTCGACAGCCTACAATGTGATGCAGTCGAAGTACATCAGCTACTCGTCAACCTCAATGGTGCAAAGCACCCCGGGCCAGACGGACTTCACCCACTCATACTCAAGTCCCTATCGATTATCATCTCACCAGTTGTGACAAACCTTTCCAATAGATCGCTCTCTGAAGGATCCGTCCCGAACGACTGGAAATGCTCGATAGTTAAACCGCTTCCCAAGGGTGGTGATCCGAGTAAAATAGAGAACTATGGACCGATCTGTTTGACTTCGGTATTATCCAAAGTTCTCGAGTAGGTTGTGCAAAAGTGTCTGCTGTCGTTCTTCGAATCGATGGACGTATTGACGCCAGCGCAACACAGCTTTACGAAAGGGCGATCCTGCATCACCAACTTGATGTACGCAAACCACCAGTGGGTTCGAGCTCTCAATGAACAGAAGGATGTTGACGTGGTGTACATCGACTTTAGTAAGGCGTTTGACAGAGTGAACCACGAGGTACTCCTTCGTAAACTGAGGACATACGGAATCGGTGGCACGTTACTTCAGTGGATACAAGAGTTTATTGTGGGACGAAGGTTTAGAGTACAGGTCAATGACTATCTGACAGAATGGTTCCCATCGACCAGTGGCGTGCCTCAAGGAACTGTACTTGGGCCAGCATTATTTCTTATTCATATCAACGATCTTCCGCAGCAGCTCCAGTCACCATGTGTCCTGTTTGCAGATGATTTGAAAATCTGGAGGATCATTGAAAACCAGGACGACTGCGCTCGCCTCCAGCATGACTTAGAGCGACTGTCAACGTGGTCCACTGAAATGCAACTCCCTCTTAACGCAAGCAAGTCGGAGTTCATCAGTATCACCAGACGTCCAGCCACTCGATCATACACCTTGGACGGCCAGTTGCTCCATCCCAACACATCTGTCAGAGACTTAGGAGTTCTCTCACGACATGATTTAAGATCACTAGAAAATACAGAGAAATTGTACCGTGCGGGACTTCGTATGCTCTGGGCATTACGACGCAGTTTCTCCACGTGGTCCGAAGAAACCGTCCCTCGTCTATTCACCTCGCTCATTAGACCAATTCTTGAATACGGTGCCCCAGCTTACCATCCGATAACTCAATGGGAAACTGAAAAACTGGAGAAAATACAGCATATCGCAACTAGAATGATACCAAGTCTACGAAAGCTTCCATATGAAAAACGTTGCGAAAAGCTCGGGCTCTACACACTGTCCTATCGCCGAGTAAGGATTGATCTTATTATGACCCATCGAGTACTACACTTGAATCACTTCCCCATACTGCGGCCAATATTTCACCTGCCAGAACCCTGTAACACCCGAGGACATCGTTACAAACTCAGGGTCCCCAGCATGAACAAAGTATCACATCAGCTTTGTATCGAACGAAGAATCGTAAACTTATGGAATATACTACCAGAAGGATTAATAGAGGCCGATTCTGTGAAGTGTTTTAAAACCCGTATCGACGATTGTTTTGGAAACCTGTGCTTTTGTGAAACGATGCACATACAGTGCCAAAAGAAGACATTGTATGTCCGTAAATAATAACGCTAGTACAAATTTCTAACCGAACACGGATAAACGATTAATAGACCAGACACAACTGCTGATAATTCACAAGTAAATTTTGATTTTTCGTAATTCGATAGAGTTGTACAGAAACCTTTCTACTCGCTCTTAAATACAGTCTCAGTCTCAGTCTCAGTTTATTAACAACACCATCTATGGTATGGATCCACTGGCACCATTCATATAAATACTAGTAAATATAGCAGTGAACTCAAACTTCTAAACAAAGCCCCAACCAAACAGCAGAAACTTAAATTACTATATCACGGGAGGAACAACTTCACAACATTGCTACAAATACATGAGGCTCTGCTACAGGTACAACGCCCAACCAAAAGGTTAACATCAAAGAAGTATGCCGGAAAATTAAACATACTGAAGACTTACGTTCATTACTGTAATTACGCAAGAGAATGAACCTTAAACTTTGTCAGGAAATTAGAACTGGCCCTTGACTATGGTTCATGAAGGCGCGACAACTCCTGTATACGCGACGCTATCAACTCCAGTTCTGCCTCCTGTTTTGTCCCTAGCACTCAGTTGTATCATGGTCCCCTTCCACAAAGAACGAACTAGCTACCTTGTACTATTCCTGTAATGTCGAGGGAGGTGCAGTGCCATCATATTCACAAGACTATCAACTCGTCCAGAACCAGAGGGCATCTCTCCAACTATCGTAAAACGGCAGAAAAGCATCTCTTAAATGTTATTAAACGTCTTCACACTTTCTCACATTAGCGGCTGCTTCCCATTTGAATAGAAGCAAGCCATCATAACATCTAAGTACAAGGGTGG